GAAGATAGGTAGATAAAAAATGACTGAACATATGACTGAAAGTCCAACAATTCATCACTATCTAGAAGATAGGTAGATAAAAAATAACTAACATATGACTGAAAGTCCAACAATTCATCACTATCTAGAAGATAGGTAGATAAAAAATAACTAACATATGACTGAAAGCCCAACAATTATTTTCTTTATGGCCAAGTTTGATTTTAAAATGTTTCCCGAATAGCTTTAGTAGCGTAAATTAAAAATGGTACATATTTATCAATTATAAGGGTTCAAACGCAAGGAAAGTTCATTGTACACTTACATTGTATTAATTACTATAGTTAATAAGTGAAAGAATAATGTATTTTCTACTCTTGTAACTAAAACCTACCTAGCAATTACTCTAGTAGATAAGTTAGAGTTTTAACTAAGTTAAATCTATATGAAGACGTAAAAGTCTAAAAAGCAAATTTCTTAGTATACCTTAATTGTTAGCTTTATAACCACAAACAAGAGAATCCAATCACTGGGTATATTTCTTTAGCAGGGGAAGCGTAACCATTTCTAACATGATATATAAAGTGACAAAATAAGCCTAAATAAATACCGTATATCTAAAACACAAATATAATCTTATAGTATTCATGAACGCTAAAGAAAAACACATAGAAAGATTGTACATTGATATTTGCAAGTAATTATATAAAGATTCAAGGTCACACGGAAAGTAACCTAAATTATAACAGAGAATGAATAGAATGAATAGTTTGTAAAGTTGACTAAAATGTAAACCATTAGATAACAGAATATTTTCAAGTCAACCTAAATTTTCAATAACTGATGCTGAAATTTTTCTAGTTTGAATAATGATTCAATAAATGAGAGAAAAAATATTCTCGGAATTAAGTTAAGAGTCTCGAAGACAGATGTTGGAATTTTTTCTAGGTTTACTAAATATTTGGAATTTCAAAGGCTCCTTTTTATTCAAGTCAGAAGATTAGAGAGAAATTTTGAAAAGTGTTAGTGAAAAGTTTTCGATCTTGTGTAAAACTTTCTATGACTAATACAGAAATTTCTATAAGCTATACCTTGTTCCAAATCCGGCTTATTTCGACGGTTTTACAATCACTGAAATCCGGATATTTTGTAGTACGCTGTCCACTCTGGTCACCACAGCACCACCTAGCTGTTCCTGATAATTATATTAAAAATAACATTCTTCCCTTTGTCTGTAACATAGTACATTTACTTTAATTAGTTTACCGAGAATTTATGTAAACAAAAATGTATTTCGGCCTTTTCAGAAAAACTATTATTTATACATGGGAGAAAAAATAATTAAACTCAAGACTAAACAAACAGCAATATATATAGATGTATGTTGTGTGTATCCCTAAGCAAAAGTTTAGAAACTATTACATAATAAATAGTTTCAGAAAATCATATACTGATACACACAGATCATATAAGTCGAAACATTCTGGTGTAGTCGTATAACTTTGTTTACCTGTTGCTAAGCGCACAATTGCACAATGAGTTATTTGTGCTCTCCCACCGCGGGTATCGAAACCCAATAATTAATATTATAAACCCATAGACTTACCACTGAGACACTGGGGACTATTCATATAAGAAAGACACTATTGACAAAGAGTCTTGCATTCAAAATACGGACATAATAAATTTTCATGCAACTTGACAGTACTATCACACCGAAGTTACCTATAAAAATGGAAAATAAAATCAGACAGGATTCGAAATCACAACTTCACTAACCGGGCAGCATCGCCCAAGAATTTTCTGCGTCTCACATATCGGTCACGTCATTATTATTAATGATAAGACTCTTAGGTTAGGATAATCGGCTTAGTAGAATCAGTTTATTGGACAGAGTCCGATCGGAAGTGACCCAATGGATAACTCAAGGATTCACAAATCTGTTGCCACAAAAACACGCTTTGCACTTTGGGGGTCTTAGGTGGGTTCTATGAGTGGCAGTCAAATCCCACTATTTGAAAAGACAAAATGGCAGTGGGCGCTGTTTACTAACAACTTTTCCCACAGTTTATCAGTTTAAAATTATGCGCAAATACCATTTGTGGAGTTTTGCGCGAAAATTCTGAAACAAACAAACCCCTTATTGCTATATTTGTTTTATGGAAGTACCAATCGGTTTTAAGTGGTTGAATTGTAGAAATTTTAGAGACAGTCCCTTGTCCTGTGAAGTTGGAGTTTTTCTTGTGCAAAGCTACACAATAGACTCTCTGTGTGGTATTTTCAAGTACAACCGATTTCCCGACAAGTATGAGATAGGCAAACCCGCAAATAACAGCAGAATCGATCAAGAAATCTGTAATAAATAACTCGACTGAGTTTCTTTAATGGACAAATGCATAACAAAATCTTTATTATAACAAATAAACGAAAACACAGTATGGGTACTTGCGGAAATGATATGATAGTACTTTTTACTGGTCTGCGTTTAGCTCCACAGCTTTCCCTCCCTCAGGATTAATTTCGGTAGATCTATAACACGTTTTTCTTGAAAGAAGTATTTACTTGAAGATATCCATGTAGAAGCTGACTTAAGAAAGCACGTCTTAATTCAATAGGCAAACTCGATTTCTTTGTCCAGTCGACAGCATCACCTCATGACCCTAGTTCTCTCACGGTATTGGTTGGCTAGTATGTTTAGTCAACGTCATAATCGATCAGCAAAGAATAGTACAGTGCCAATCTTTATAAATTTATGCTAGATATTATTGCGATATCTTCTTAACCAGAAGAGACATCATCTATTTTTGTGAACAAAGAAATGAAGCAACAATAACAAGTTTATCTTGAGGACTTTCTGGAACATGTATTGCTGCCATTACAGCATGGAAACTGAACAACCGAAACATTTTTGAGATCTCTATATCACCAAACCAGGTAGAAAACATACAAAATAACTGCATATTACATCTGTGCTCCGCCTACCACAGGTATCAAAACCATTTCTTTTAGCGTGATAAGACCTAAGACTTACTGCTGAGCTACCTGGAGGAGAGGTAAGTAAATGATTGATAGATGAAATCCAAAAATAAACTAAAGAAAGCGGAGAATAAATACAGTTTTGGCCCAAATATTTGCATATTTTGTAACAAATAAGATCATTAATATTAAGATAAAATATAAATATGCTTAGCCCTGTCCAACCGAAAAATGCATGTTATATTGAACATCTACATATGTAATTTGTATAATGAGATAGATTCTATGGACATCATGAATGATTTATTAAAATAGCAAACAACGTGATCAGACATCTGTAGAAAGATGTGTAATTTAGCATTTCAAATATCCCAACAAATCCTTACCAAAAATATATATGACGAGAAAATATAACATCCAATTGTAATAAGTAGTGTCTGCAACCTTATATCAGTTCGAATTAAACATTCAGTATTTGGTTGGTCCTCCTCGTATTCTAATAACCTCTGCAAGGCGACGTGGCATGCTGTCAGTGAGGTTATTGATTTAATCCACCATGATTTCATCCTAACTCGTCACTAGAGGGTGCTGCAACTCAGCTACAGTAGCTGGTTTAGGGTTGTGGTTAACATTTTTCCGGTTCAGTTCTGCCCAACAGTTCTCAATAGCATCACAATCTGGAAACTTTGCTGGCCATGGCAATCTTGAAATGTCATCCTGGTTGAAATAATCCCGTACAATACACACACTGTGGGTAGTAGCATTGTCATCCTTAAACACAAAGTTATTGCCAAACCTTGCCTTAACATATGGCAGAAATATAGTCTTCATGTGATGCCTGTAGGAGGCGCCATTGACGCTTCCTTGGAGGATATGAAGAGCACTTTTTCCACCATGACGAATAGCTGCCCAAACATCTACTGCACCACCTCGTGTGTGTTCCCTGAGGAAAAGACAATCTTCCCTCATCTATTTTCCAGGTAAACGACGAAAATGATTTCTACCATAAGCTTTAACACATACGCTTTCTTCTTACTCAACTTTATATTTATATAGATATTTAACGTACCAGTCTTTTTCTAATTCAACATTATATTTATAGAGTTATTTAAAGTAACAGAATTTTTCATAACTCAGTTTTACATTTATATAGTTATTTAACGCACAGGTAGCTTTGCGCAAAATTCAAAACAAATAACTAAAAAATAATACGTACATTCTTTGTTCTTATTCAATATTATATTTTTCTATAGTTACTGCCCCACGGCTGCTCAGCGTTAAGACTGAGAGTTTATAACGTTAAAATTCGTTCGGGATTCGATATTTGCGATGGACATTAGCAGAAAGCCCATTCAAACGGGTTTTTTTCCAACTGAGTATTATTTTCATACAGCTTTTAACGCAATAGGTTTTCTTGTAACTCACCCTTACTGTAATATAGTCTTAAACGCAAAGTGTTTGTCATTAGTTTCCAATACCAATTAATTTTGTCTTATTTACTAATAATTTAGCTATTATAATAACAAGCATAAGATCATATGAGTATATAGTTTAGTACATTGTCGTATTCATATATATCTGTAAATCTTAAGCTCTTATACGTCACTTACTTTACGTATTCACACCTTACATTCAGTGTCCTGAGCGACCAGGAAAACATCAAGAAAGGCACTTAGAGAGTGCCATCCCTGTCCTGCAATTTTTATATTTTTTCAGTAACCAGCCTAAAATATAAATCAAACAACTCCTCACCCTGAAAAATGTAGGTTTAGATATGAAGATCCTCTTTCAACTTGTCTCGAACTATTACCGTTTTGTAATCCAAATTTGTTCCCATTATAACAAAACGGGTTACCTTTATTACAACCCCGATATTTTAAAATACATTATCTAAAACTTAATCAATTGGTCCTTGAGAACACTCAACCTGTTTACCCACACATGACCAAAGTTAGGTGAAAACCTTGTTTGAGTTATAGTATTTACACACATATACTCATACATACAGGAGCGAAAACAATACCTCGCTCCAGTGAGGGGGTAAACATCACAAAATTGTGGCAAAACTGGAAAAGTATGCAAATGTCACACAAACCAACCAATTTAAACCTGTGTTGGTGCACTAAGTATCTTTTATTGCAGACTAAAGAGCTAGAATACAACAAGGTCCCTTCACTTGCTTAAACAACGAGTTATATAAATTATTTAAATATGTTTTCCATAATATTTACACAAATTAGAATAGACATTTTTATGGAGAATTTAAGAGAACAAGATCATGTGTTTTTAGTTAGTAAAAGTAAAATTGTGCTTTTGGGGGTGTTGCGTATAATTTTGAAGGTTATAATGTTAAATCAATATAACCTAGTTCAAGCAACCATAATAATTTGAAAACACCAGTAAAAGAAACTCAGTTCAGCTATAAATCCACGTTAGGCATAGCAATAGTATTTCTATATCGAGTGAGACAAAAAAGAATGTTATTTATGTATTATTGGGGAACATGCAGAGTTTATGTCGGAATTATGAGCCTGTTTTTATTAATACCTTTCACAGTGAAAGATACAAAAAAGCTGGAATTGTTCAGCAAACCTACTTTAAACATACTTTTCATAGAAGAAGGAATAAGATCTTCGACAAAATTAGGCACACTGATTTTAAGACACCATCATTGACAAACGTAATGAATCCCTTTATTTTCTATTAGCTTAAACTAACATATGTAAGAATGTAATAGCACAGACTGATTAATTACACTGAAAAATTGAGCAAAAGCAGCTTATCACGTACCTTTTGCTGGTTCTGGACAAGACTGTTTAGTGCATTTAGCAACTTCTTCCTTTGGCCAGTGTAAATTTCCACTGGTTATAGCTTCACAGAAAACAGGAGGCTTGGTAAAAATCTCCGAAAATTTCGTAGTGGTTGAGTCTAGAAGAACATTTTCTTCAGTTGTTTATAATAATTCTTCTAAATAAAGATTTTTTGTTTAATGTTCTAATATGCATAGTTTCAAATGTTGGCAAAGCTGCCAAGCTTTATAGTTATATGTGTTTCTTGTAAAAGTAGGGTTAAGACGTAAACAATTAATGTGCCATCAGCAAATATAGGATGCCTCAGAAAATATTTAGTTGTAAATCATATAGTATGCAATGTTATAAATTTCAATAACGAAATACATTGAGTTTGGATGTTTGGTTTCTCACATTGTTTAAGCATCACTTGAAATACTTAGTATTGTTTTTTATTTTTTTTCAGTGTCGGAAGAGAATGTGACAACTGACTTGAATCTGTGTCGACACCTTAATTTAGTCTCTTTATTAACCGGTGACGTTTTCTGTGTATCGTTCCTTGACACTTTCCTATCAACTTCACAAAATGCGAGGTCGGGACTGCAACACGGCCAAGAAAGGAGTCCCATTTTTCTATAAGGAGATATTTTTTATTTGTATTGGTGGTCAGTCAGAATCACTTCTATCAGTTCCGAAAAAAAAAAAGATAGAATATTCTAGAAAAAGAGATAAACTTTTTCGTTGAATGATGATTAATGGGCAACAATTCAACGTTCTAGCAACTGTATTAGGCCTATTTCTTTCCACCTCACTGTTTAAACATACCATTAAGGTTACACAATGACTAACTACTTTTTCACAATCCAAACACGCAATTGGGAGTTTACTCCATCTATGTGCATGTGATATGATCACCCCGGGTGGGCGACTACTTGAGCTCTATAAATGATATCCTCGTTAATTACCAAGAGAGTGAATTTGTAGTTTGAACAAACTTTGAGCAGTAGATCTCCAGCCTTGTTTGCTTACATTTTTGCGAACCCTATCTGTAGATTTTAAACTCTTAATTTTAAATTATAGTGTGTGTGAGGTTTAATGCACAGCAATGGGCATATATATATGTACGCCTAGAGTAAGATACAACCCCCCACTAAGCGCATATAACATTTTACCAGTAGAAAAGCAGCCTTTACTAATAAAACAAATACGTCTAAAACATCGCTTTATATAAAGCTTCGTGTCTTTTAAAGTAATTATTTACTGAGCCAGATGGCTTTGTGCTTGAGGTTTCGTGTAAACACGTGTTTAACACGCGCCGAGTACCAAATTTCAGAACAATATCGCATCTATTACGTATTTATAACCGCATAAATAAACTTTCAATGAAAAATAATCAACTTTGAAATAGGTCATGGACATTCGAAGCATTCCATATAGTACATTTGTCTAGGTTTCGGTGCAAAATACCCAGCTGATTTTGCTGTAGGTTTGTGAATAATAATAATATGAACAAATGAGCAAATTTTGATTTTCTCTGCAATCGTGTAATTACTCATTTTGCTTATTATCAATGTTTGGGTGCTCTTAACTACTGAAAAGGAAAGGTGTGAGTTTGTTTCAAGAATAAGTCTGCTTTCTAAAGTGGTTTTTGCTCGAATGCTCTCTTAGAGTTTTGAGCAAATTCCTGAGCGATCAGTATTATGAACCACTATCGTGGTTTGTGAGAACGAGAATAATATCCTCGTGACAGGAGTGGATTGAGTCTTTTTATTCCTATAGAAGAACAAATGATTAGTTGTTTTTCAGAAATTGTGTGCATAGAGGGATTTAGACGTTCTGGCAACAAATGTGAATGATTCAGGCGTATATGCTATTGCCTTTGCTGTACTCTCTTGCATGGGCAGGACCAAACCCAATTTATTTTTCTAAAATCCATACGTCATCTTTCGTAGTGTCTTGAGCTTGAGCACTTGTCAGCTTTTCCTGCAGAAGTGATATACTGCAGCGTACGCGTGTGTACGATGGTCATTGAAGAGCTATGTTGTTGCTGCATAAGAATTGCAAACGATCTATGACTACAGAAACAATTTTATTTAAAGCCAGTATTTTGGCAAGGTGGCTTGTTTAAGGGTTTTAAAAGCATTAAATCTACAAATTAAAAAATCTCGTGCTCTTTTTATTCTTGAAAAAAATTAAGCAGTTCTTGTATCACTAGCCCTGATGAACTAAACGTTGATTGAAATAAAAACTTTTTATCTATTATTATCTGGCGAGTGAAAGTCATTTTATTTACAACTTTATTGTCAATATGACAAACGAGATTGATTGCTGACCACAATAGTGTGTTTTCTCCCTGGGCAAGGAATCGTTTAATATGTTATATAACAATTCTTAGCACTAGTATCACTTCAAATGGTTTTCATGGTTTTAGAAATTTTTACTGATAAGCACAATCATGAAATCTCAATCCAAATGAGTGTTTTTGGAAAGAATTTGAACATCGCATTCGCTACGCGATATTCTGTTACCACTCGTGAACCACTTTCAAACAATATCCCTTTACGAAAGGGCAACATTTAAACATAACGCTTCATGTCATCTTGTTGTGTTTATGCCACTCTGAGTCCCAAAGCAGCATTGGGTATAAGTCTTAATGAAGTAGTCAATCAAAGTATACGTTTAGAGCAAATCTAAGGAAATCAAACATCCAGATCTTTTAATATTACAAGTGAGATTTATTTCGTTATATATACTTGCGTGTTCTAAGTTGATTTATCTTACTGGAAACGGCATGTACTATTTATAAACTAAGTACACTGGGTCCCGCTATAGCACGGAACTCGTTATATCGCGGGTCCGTCTTGGACCCCAAAATTTTCATTTAAGCTTTATCTGTTTATGAAGCCTTTAAAATCAGTTTTTCTGTAGTTCTGCAACTCTTGGAATGACCTCTTTATAACGTACTCTCACGATATCGATCACGTTATACCCAGACCCAGTGTATTTGATTCATCATTCTTCTGAGTGCTTGATTATAATTGCATTCATCAGTTTCAGTTGAAATCAACTTACATTATCCCGCATAAGTAGTACAAATCTAAATTATTATTAAATAAAAGATTATATTCATATCTTATTTTTAAATATCAACTTACAGCATTTTGAAATGAAAATTATACGTACGTATTTTAATTTTCTAAACTAATGAAAACTTACCCTTATCTTGACAAATGAAAGGAGCAGGTTCCTTGCATGAAACCATATATTCGCCTCCTTTTGGTCCAAATTTGAAGGTTAGGCATTCTTTAGGTTCACTAAAACATGAAAGTTCCATTAAAGACAGTATTTACTTAGGTCATTAATGAACATGCATATTAATCTTTTGTATTTAAACATTTATGAAACTCTATTTTTTGAAACAGTGCAATGGGAAGTATTTATCCATGGAAATCCAAAATTTATTAAATAATGAATTTATCAATACTATTCACCGATATTTAATTTTCCACATTATTTTGTGAACTTTCTGTCAACTTTTTCCTGTTTATTTTCCTTCGTGGTTAATATACTTATTCATTTATTTTACCCTGCGCAATCCATGTTCAGAATCCAAATCCTGTTATTGGTCGGATAGATTTTCGAAATGTTGATCATGACCCTTGCACTTTCTATTGAACGAGTACAGAGAAGTTGCTTGTTGTACTCTCGGCACATGTTCACAGCATCATTCCATGAAGTTACTTGGGTGAAAACAGAGTAGCATTTTGAGGCATTTTCATTCAGTGTGCAAAATGAAGTACCTGCAAACATTTGTATAAAAAATTACCAAAGTTTTAGAATATTTACTCCAAGAATTGAAATATCTGAGATCTATTAAAATATTCTTCAATCACCATGACTCTAAGGTTCAATTGTTTTATGCTTTTTTTCTGAATGATAGCTTGATGTTTTTGTTCTTGGGACTAAATAACATGAGGATATTGTTTCATGGAATCTAATAATAAAGTGTTTAATATAGATTTACAAGTAAACAAACAAGTAAGAAACACGCTAATTAACTAATAGAGGAGATTTGCAAGTTAACAGTGATGCGAGAGTTCAAATCGCAGTCAATTTCAGATTTATTTGCTTTTCCGTTTTTAAAAAAGCACAAAATTATTTCAGTTCTATATATAATGTTAGTAAAACCTCGAAGAAGCAGGTGGCAAAATATGAGATTTAAAAAAATGTTTTATTTGTCATAGATTGTTTTCAATTTCTCTGCAGCAAGAGCATAGCCTTCTAATGCCCGTTATACATATATACTGTATGTACACTGCAGTGACTCTCTTATACAGGGGTATCCGGCATGGCCAGGTGGTTAGGGCGCTTCACTCGCAATCTGAGGGGTGCGGGTTCGAATCCCCGTCTTACAAAGCATGCTCACCCTTTCAGCTGTTGGAGTGTTGTAATGTAACGGTCAGTCCCACTAGTCATTGGTAAAAGAGTAGCCCAAGAGTTGACAGTGGGTGGTTCTCTAGTCTTTCATTGACAAATTAGGGACGGCTAGCGTGGATAGATCTCGTGTAGCTTTGTGCAAAATCCAAACCAAACCATTTATACAAGTAAAACTGACAAGTGCCTAAACTGTGAAATATGGCATCTCGATTTAAGAAGAATCGTTTGAGTTTGATCCTACTCCTGCAACTTAATAGCAGCAAATGCAATGACAAATACACCCCAATCATTCTCATTCTTTCTTGTCGCTCCACTTTCATTACTTCTATGGCCAACTGATGGTTCCTATCATTAATATCATCTATTTTAGTTTTCATCAAGGAGTCAAAAGAATCTCTACAGACGACTCGTTTGCTTAGCATATATTACTTATGAATACCCAGCGGTCACCACCAGCATTGTATAAACTGGACAGAAATATTCTTCTATAAGACTATGTACTGTTACTCATCAACTCTATCAAGTCTTTTTCGAATTTTACAACTCATGTATTCATCAGAAACTCAAACTGTGAGATTTAATACAACGATTATTATGTTCAGGATTGTTCTCATGTGTTTAACTGTCATGATAGTGACTTGAACAATTTTTTTCTCTGCGTGGACATCTACCATTCTTGCATCCTGGCAAGCGGAAAAAAGATACTGTAACACACTTGAATGTATAACGGGCATTGAAACGCTATGTTGTTGCTGCTGAAGTATTGAAAACGGTAGGTTAATGTTGACGTATGTCAAGATGCGAAGAAGGAACCAAAAGGAGACTGGTGGTGAAACTGTTAGATTTCTGAACAGAACTGTATAAATTTTGTATGTGATAACCAAGAAAGATTTTCACCGTATAGGTATTTTAGGTGCACATACATATATATATATATTGTAGTATCTCACGAGGACTATCATTGCTGCGACAAATGACGAGAGCTATTTCCAAATGTATGTAGACCGTAGTTAATAGATTTCAATGAAAATACGATAAATATAAGAAATTGTTCTGCTTATTAATAATAACAAATACTCAAAGCAATAATGTAATGAATGAAGAACGATACAACTATCTCATAATCATCATTTTTGTTTAAAGAAAATCAAAGTATGTGGATGTGCATTTCAACTATATGATTTAATTACGTTAAGCTTAATTTAGTTTGTTATGATGTTATCAGATACCCTTCTGGGAGTTGCCCATAAAATCACCGAGAGATAAAGAAATATGTATTTTTGAGATTGTTTTGAATTCATGCACAAAGCTACACAATGCTCTGCTCACCACGGGTATCGAAACCCGGTTTATAGCGTTGTAAATCCGCAGACATACCACTGTGCCACTGGGATGCTTTTGAGAATGATTAACACATTACTTTTAATTTGATTAAACGTTATCCTAGATTCTTTTAAGATCATTTTTTAACGAAACAAGTAAGAAATTCAACGACAGGCTCTCAAATAAAAGGATTAGAATACATTCCAAATAAATGAATTTTAGTTAAGAACAAAACGATTTCTAGCTTACGAATTAAAAATAAGTTATGAAAATAATACTGATGTGAAATATAAATTAATTAAAAAATGCTATCAGTGTTTAATTAAATGAGCAGATTAATGGTATTAGACCAGAAAGTTAAAAATAAACGAATTATTATACATCTAGGTCATCGAAGAAAAATAATAATGAGACTTTGAGAATATCTCAAATTGAAAATATCTCGAATCTGCACACCACCGTACATGATCTTAATCCACTGAAACCTAGCCGTTGATGTGACTAAAATATGCACATCCTAGAAAATTTTACAAATCTTTAGATACTTTAATCAAACATTTGATAATTGAGACATTCAAACTTTAATTTTCATTTACCTAAATTGCAGTTAAAATTCAGTGGCGCTTTTCTGACTGTTTAATTTCAGTTTCTTTTGAAGAATTAGAAGAGTCTTTTTAACTCATAACTTTGGCTTTGACGATCACTTTGAACATAACTGGGGGATGGGACCACATCACATTCATATGCTGAAGTGAATATGATGTGGTCCATCAATATTTTAAAAGTAATCGGTAACGCTAAAAACGAGACTATATTATGGGGAAAGAGACTCTTCTTATTTTTGAAAATAAGATAAAATTAAACAACCAGCAAAGCGCTACTGAACTTTTACTCACAATTTACGTAACTGAATGTTATTTGAACTTTCGCGCTCTATTATGTAATTTCAACTTCAATCTTTGTTTGTTTTTAAACACAATGGGCTATGTGCACGGTGCTTACCATAAATATCGAAACCTGATTTGTCGAGTAATAAACGCTGAGACTTACTGCTGAGCTACTGGGGGCTGATCTTTGTTAAAACAATAGTTAGCATACGTAAACTAAAGCTTGTTTGAAGTTAAGCACAAAGCTACACAATGGGCTATCTGTGCTCTGCCCACCACGGGTATCGAAACCCGGTTTCTAGCGTTGCAAGTCCGCAGACATGCCGCTTTGCCACTGAGGGCAAACTAAAGCTATATTTTTTCAAAAATTCAACAAATAAGAAAAATATCTCATGAACAATTTTTTAATTAAAAACACAATACGTCCCTCGGTAGATCAGCGGTAAGCTTGAAGACTTATAATACTGATAATTGGGGCTTAATAGCAACGGTGGGCTCAGCACAGATAGCTCATTGTGTAAGTTGCCCTTAAAAACAAAACAATTTTAAATCAATACAATACACGTAAAGAAAAACGCATTATAATAATATCTTTATTCATTAACCTACGTAAGAAATAAAAATGTATGTGCTAATTTGGAGAAATTTTTGAAATCAAAATAATTACTTGTAAGTATTTTTATTATATATATATATATCGCATTGCCGTTATCGTTCCAGAGTGTCATATAAGCAAATAGTGGGTATTCCAATGGGAACAAACTTCGCTTCAAATATGGCCAACCTGTATTTGTTCTTTTTATGAAAACTCATTTATGAAGCAGACTTTAACTCCTAACTTATACATTTACACTTTTCGTTACATAGATGATTTAATATCTATAAATAATATGAATTTTACGCTAAACTTAATATATCCAACAGAACTTACAATAGAAAGAAGTGATAATAATAAAAAGCGTTCCGTGCTAATTAGTTAGATTTAGACATCACTTTTATCGAAGGCACAGCGCGGTTAACTATTTTTGATAAAGAAAGAGAATTTAATTTCCCTAGCCTTGGTCTACCCACACCTAACAGTGTTATTCCGTGTATCATGTTGTTGTTTTTTTAATTTCGCGAAAAGCTGCACGAGGGCTATCTGCGCTAGCCGTCCCTAATTTAGCAG